TACAGTAAATACATAATAAAAAGATCAAGAATGAATTGCCAATTTTTCACGAAGCAAATGGTCGAATTTTCATTTCGCTGGAGGTGACAGAGTTTGTATATTTCGTAACACTTTTCCAGGCCAAGCCGTAGTAACTTGTGCTGCTCCACTCTCCGTTGAGGTTCACGTGATTGCAGTTATTGTACCACCAAGCTCCTTGATTATAATTGGCGCAGTCTCCTGAACTTGAATCGTTATCTCGGTCCTTGGTTGAGAAAGCTTGCGCGTTGTGATATGCCAGGTTGTCTTCTACATTACCAGAAAACCCAGAAATCTGAAGTTTGTAATTTTCAGATTCTCCAGACAGTGAAAAGTTGTTATAGTTGGCATAGTAGTCTTTTCCTTGGGACGTCATATCGATCCTCAGTTCATATCGCCTCTGGTGATGAGAAAGAGAGGAAAGTTGAAACACCTGTTTTATAGATGCTCGTAATTTCAACACAGCCAAAATCCAGTCGTTGATTTCCAGTTGGAAATAGCCTAGCCTTGATGGGGACGGTACAGGTTTTCAAAACAACAACAACAAAAACAACAAAAACAACAAAAAACGAGTCAGCTTCGAATGCTTTGGGTCTTACAAAAAAATTCGTCTGAGTCGAGTGCATTAGTGGCTGAACCACGTCCACGGTTTATAGACCTGTCCTGGTATAAAGTATGTCTAGCGGGTCAATAATTTACCACAGAAAAATAAAACGAAAAAGAAAAACATAAAAGAGAATCCTGTACGAAATATCCCGTATCAAATACAGATGATGAGTATAAAGACATGGGTTTAAACACACTTGAAACAATTTTGACCTGTAAGTATTACAGAGCGGTTTGCTTGTTTGTTTGTGTGTTTGTTTGTTTGATGATTATTTGTTTGTGTGTTTATTCGTTGTTGTTTTTTTGTAAAAAGAGAAGCAATCAGATCGTTTCATCGACGAACATGAAGCTATTGATTTTTTTTCAGACTCTAAAGATAACTACATGTAAGATGAAGAGTTAGATTGGTCTGGCGCCTTGGATAACGACAGCGGTGATGATGAGCTGTCCAGAGTAGACGAGACAACTATTTGAACTTTTTCAATCCCCAAAAAAGACAAACCCTTAAATCAGTCCATAAAAACAATACCGTAAACACATTCTACATTTTATTACTTTTAAAGTGATTCTAAATACAATCCATGTTTTTGTGAAACTTTGTTCTTTGTGTCAAGAAAACGTTACCCCTGAAAACCTGAATCCTTTGGAAAATGATAAATTCCGGCGAACTGTCGAAAAAAAAAAAAATTATGACAAAATAGGAGTAAATACGTAAGTATTTTTTTAAAAAATTCTCTGTACGTGACAATTGACCTGTATCAGGAAAAGACATACACATTCAAATTATGACGTGTGTTTGTTATAGTAAAGAGAAACACAGCGACACAATCATGGCCATTCAGGGCTGGGGCAGATACACAAACACCCCAGGGAACGTAAAGAAGTTGGACCTACCAATAGCACTCTCCAACCACCCGCTTTTACAGAAGGGACTTACGTGAAAACAGAAAATCAGTATTTAGAAAAAGACATACTAAAGTAAATGCGAATTACCATATTTGTCAGCTGGTGGATTTTCTCCAAACCGAACCAGAAGTTTCCAGAGAGGTCTCCAAACCCGTCCTTGTATTCTGCCCAGCCACGAAAAAAGTCCACGTCGGCCGAGGTACGTCTCTGCAGACAGAACAGAACATGTCTTCCGTTTGTTGGGACTGTTGTCATACAGTATGTCAAATCACATTGATAAAATTATCACACCGCTCTATGGTTCATTCTACTTCTTCAAGTAAAACTAGATACCTTAATACGAGTAAATAAATTGTTAGCAACAATTTAAATTGCAAGTATTATAAGTTTGTTTGTTTGTTTTTTGTTCAATCATTATTGAAGTTACAACCCTTTGTTTGTAGTCTACTTCGTAACAGACCATTTCTGTGACGTAATGTAGATTTCACCTGTATCATGTCAGCCTGTATAGTGGCGTCGGTGGCCTAGTGGTTGGACTACAGGACTCGTAATCGTGAGGTTGCGGGTTCGGGGGTTCGAGCCGTGGACCTGACGCTGTGTCCTTGGGAAAAGCACTTTACACGAATTTTCCTCACTTCATCCAGTGGAAGATCTTGTCGGTATGTCGTTAGTGTTTTAGCGCCTATAAATGGCTGCTTGCATAGTATGCTTCCAAGGAAGTTGAGTTTGTTTCAGAATGCTCTCAGGTCTGCTGGGGTAATAGTATAGATTGTGAAGCGCAGAGAGCTTGCTGTTGAGCCATAATAACTATTATTATTATTATTATTATTATTATTATTATTATTATTATTATTATTATTATCATCGCAGTAAAATAATGTTGATCTTACCTGTATTATATCAGCCTACATTAGAGTAAAATCATAATGATCTCACCAGCATTGTATTAGCCTGTATTGGCGTGAAAAGTTGCTGACACTTGTACTGTACCTGCTTGTATTAGTATTCAGGTAAAAATCTAGTGACTATTCTCACCTGTATAACAATCCAGCCGCCGTTGTCTGTCTTGGTGTCGCAGACGACAGTCATACCGTTAGTGAGAGTGAGCACAGGTCGGGGTTTCCAAGTCTGCACGTCAGCGCACGATTCGGGCTGGGGAGAAACATTTGGTTGTAATAGGAGTTTTACGGCACTTGTAATACGGTAACACAATTATATTTTACATATAATTATATTACAGGTATTATGATAAGTATTATTCTAAGTGTGTGTGTGTGTGTGTGTGTGTGTGTGTGTGTGTGTGTGTGTGTGTGTGTACGTGCCGAAGATAAGAGGTGTTACAAAAGAGTAACAAACACAATAAAAAAGAAGGGATAAGGACGATAGATGTTTAATGGGAAAGAAGGAGCAAACCACACCTGACCACTGAGCACTGAGCACTGAGCACCCGCCAACCACCCACGAGATTAAGACAACAGAGGATGAGTAGAGTGGTGTACACTGTGTGAGCCGGCGAGGTAACATCGGGCTTGCTGCTACAGAGTACAGAGGTCCCCAGACGGGCTGAGACAGGAGGAGTGGAGATCAGAATCAGGAATTTGAGATGTCAATCAATGGGGTAATCTATTTCCCAGCTTTTATCGCACAGTCAATTTCTCAGTTTATCATTCATTCAAGTTTTCAATTTATCACTCAATAAATATTTTAGTTATCGCTCAGCAGCAAATGCCCAGTTTTCTCAGTTTATCCTTCAATCAATTTCCCAGTTTATCACCAAGTGAATTTCCGAATTTGTTACTCAATTCATTTCCCAGTCATATAGTCTGACTCAGTTAATTTCTCTATTTAAAATTCAGTCAATTTTTTAATTTATCACTCAACTAATTTCCCTGTTTATAGTTCAGTTAATTTCCCACTTCATCACTTAGTCAATTTCCCAGTTTATCACAAAGTTAATCCTCAGTGTATCACTAAGTCAATTTCCCAGTTATCATTCATTCAATTTCCCAGTTTATCACTCAATTAATTTCCCTGTCGTGCTATTTGCTACTGAAGAAGATGTGGTTTGTCTGGTGGCAGAGAAGGAACAAGTAAGAAAATGATCGCCTAAGTTTGATGGCTTTCAAAACTTGAGTGTCCATGGCAACTGAAAATTTACTTTTTGGTCTTTTGATCAACGGTTTTCAATCAAATCCCCTGAAAAGATGAGTTTTTAAGTGCCCATAAAAGGTGCTGATCCCAAATCATTTTTTAAATTGCCAAACAGGTGGGAGAATGTCGGTTTCTTCGATAAAATGCTGCACATTTCCTGTCTATATCTGGACAAACAGATCCAGAATAAATTAGGCAGACTCGTCAATATTGGAGATCAAAAACTTTGAAAGGTTCTCACCTTTATCTGGTTCTTAATAGTGTTCGTCTTGCTCTCGACGCTCTCTTCAAGGGCCTGGACTTTCGCTGTGACGTTCTCAAGGATGTCATCTTTCTGCTGTAGACATTTTCTCTGCGTTGCTGTGGCACTTTCAAGAATGTCTTCCTTTTGTTGTAGAAATGTTCTTCTCTCCTGCCCAAAGGTCTCTTTGATACTTTCAAGAATATTATCTTTCTGTTGTTGAAATTCTCTTTGTGTTGCTGTGACACTTTCAAGAATGTCTTCTTTTTGTTGTAGAAAAGTTTTTCTGTCCTTCTCAAAGGTCGCTGAGATACTTGCAAGAATGTTATCTTTCTGTTGCAGAAATTCTCTTATGCTCGACTCAACTGTGGCCGCGGCATTTTCAAGGATCTCTTCCTTCTGTTGTTGAATTTCTTTTTGTGTCGCTGTGGTGCTTTCAAGAATATCATCTTTCTGTTGTAGAAATGTTCTTTTCTCCTGCTCAAAGGTCTCTTTGATACTTTCAAGAATATCATCTTTCTGTTGTAGAAATTCTTGTATGCTCTGCTCAACCGTGGCCGTGACATTGTCAAGGATGTCTTCTTTTTGTTGTAGAAATTCTTGTTTGTCGTGATCCATGATGGCCGCTACGTGTTCTAAGATCTGGCGTATCTGCGAGAGTGGTTGGTCAGGACATTGCCTCGTCTTCTGCTCTACGGTGTGGCTCAGCACCTGTAAAGTGACGTCACACATTACGATTATGACGGTTATCATAAAATTAAAGTACAGGTGAAATTTTCCAAGATAGTCATGGGGAAAAGTGGCTGTTCTAGACAGGTGAACGTTTTTGTCATATGGAAAAGTGGCTGTGCTAGACAGGTGAACGTTTTTGACAGTGTGATTATATTCTCTTTTAAAAAGAGGAGAGGTGGGAAATGGTCGTT